ATTTTTTTTTTTTTCATTTTTTATTTTATAAAAATAAAAAAAAAAACATCAAAATCCAAAAACAAAAATATAGGGATGCAGGGAATTTCAAACCTTACAACCTTTTTTTTTTTTTTTTGCCTATTATTCTATTTTTACAAAATCGTCGGGTTTTGGGGCCGCGGTTGGTCGCCACGGTTGGCCGCAGTGGTCGGGATCCCGTCCGTGTGCGGTAAAATGGCCCGCGGTGATTACCGCGGGTGATACATAGGAGCTTGGGGGTCAGCTAGACTCTCATGTGCATGCCTCATAATCGTCGTCATGTGGGCGATCCAAGCATCAAGCGCCAGACAACGAGTGTCTGGTCGCAACCGCGATGGTTATAGGAAGTCAACGGGTACGCGAGGATGGTAGCCAAGGTCTCAATAGAATAGTGGCATTCCCATGGTCGGCGAAACAGCGTGGGTGTACGCAATCTCCGCGTGGGCTAAGTGTAAGTCCTACTGTTTGTTGGTCATCCCTAATAAATTCTCGAAGGATATTACCAAAAGTTTTATTGGTGACCTCAGTCTGACCATCCGCCTAACGGTGGTAAGACGACGAGAAACAAAGTTGTGATCCGTACACCTCGTGTAGACGTTGCAAGAATGTGTTGACATTGTTGGCACTATTGGTAAAGCGAGGGTCACGGTCGGAGATATTACTCTGAGGTAAGCCCTGATCTTTCACGACTCGGTCGAAGACAATGTTGACGACCTCACGAACGCTAATGCGATAGCGCCACGAGACAAAACGTGCACGCTTCGTGAAGAGATCAACAACGACCAAGATAGCATCATGAGTCATGACCGCGCTTAATGGGAGGGTGGAAAGGACCAACAAAATTCATTGAGATAGACTGCCAGCGAACCTCAGTAGAGGGTGAAGTAACCCATACGGAAGGTGGTTCGCACTTTTCACATCCTATCAGGTAGGAATTTCCTGGATGTAGGCGTTGATGAAGTCCGTGGACTTCGGCCAGACGTATGGGCGGCAAACAGGGGTCAACGTCTTGTGGAAACCCATATGACAAGAAACTTCCTTGTCATCGAACTCTACTACGACCTGGACGCGATGTTGTTCAGTGGAGGAAACACAGATACGTGGTTGTAGTTGACCAGATCTATCATACCAGTACATGAGACGGGATGGCCGTGTTTACACACCCATCGCACACACACACACACACACACACACACACACACACGCTTCATTTTACTTTTTTTTTGTAATCAATCAGTCAATCAATCAAACAATCAAACAGAAGAAGAAGAAGAAGGAAAAAAAAAAAAAAAGCAATTACCTTGGAAAATTTTTAGGACTTGGACTCCATATCAGTCTCGAAAAAAATGGAAAAAAAAAATTCCTGCTTTTCTTTTATTTATTTTTATTTTTTTCTTTTTAACCGATTTTCGTTTTTCATTTTTTTATAAATCCTAAATGAAGTCAAATTCAAAAAAACAAAAAAAGAGGTTGTAGGGTTTTCAAACCCCTACAACTCCATTTTGTTTTTTTTTTCCACTTATTTTTCCACCCCCTAAAAAATATCCGAAATATCGGGCCGCAAACTAGGCCTGGAAGCCGCGGCTGCAGCTGAGTTTCCCAGGCCGCAGCTGTCACATAGAGCTGTGGTAACTGGACTCTTGGAGCTTCTGTACCCATGTATGAGCCATCTTGTATTTTTTTGTTCTTTTTTGAGCCCAGGGTGTTATAGAGGCCAAGGACCTGACCCTCGGTGATTACTGGCAGCGGCAACCAACGGTTGTCATGGCAGGAATGCCATCTTGTAATGAGGGAAGCCCGTCCTCTTTTCCAGCAGATGCTGCTCCCCACCAGTAGTAGATTGGAGCCCTCCACCAGTCTGCTAGCGGTCAATGCTCCTACCACCACCTCTAGTAGCCTACCTGGATGAGGATTGAAAGAGAAAAAGAAGTATTTAAAGTCTTTAACACCAGTACACACAGGCTTGGCGGATCGCACAGTACTGTGCGCCAAGCTTGGCCAAAGTGCCAGCGGTGGACTTCGTTTCTTTTTTGGGTGGTGCCGCCAGCCATTGTGGTCCGATAGCCCCAAGCCGCCTAAATCTTAGCAGTGAGCTGTGAGTTTTTTCTACAGGACCGGGGCTGAAGGTTCAAACCAACTCAGAAATCTTGGACCTGCTGGGTTGTACTATGCAAATAATGCAAGTAGTAATAATGTACTAAGTCTAGGCTACCTTCGAAATGATTGGAATGGGATTGGATTGGGTGTAATTTGGGTCGGACTCCAAGAATCACGTTCGCAAAGTAGAACCTGTCCTTGACATCAACATGTCCAACCACCGTAATGGTTCTTCTGGATGTGCTAGAAATAGCCTTAGAAACTTATTACTAAGTTATTAGAAAGTTTTTTTTTTTTTTTTTTGCTTTTTGCCCAAGGCTGATATTGATATTTGAGAAAATTGAGGCCGGGGTCCTCACAATCTACCCGGAGTAACCGGGCCCAGCGTCCCTCTGATGATGATGATGATGATAATAATGAGAATGACGATAATGCTAAAGAGAATGATGAGCAACTGCCAACTGATTGGATATAATTACTAAATACTAATCAGGATGTTCATCTACTTAGAACTCAGCTTCTTTCCTCTCCCCAATTCCTGGTATCCATACTAATTCAGCCAATCTCATTCTGAAGCTATGTTGTGGAATATAGCAATTTCTCAAGTTATTGGACTGCTTTCCTCCCTCAGCAATCCTCAGTCTCCTACAGGCCTCAAGCTCCTAAGAAGAGGTTACAGAGCGATGCCCCAGCACGGGCCAGTGTCGATCTGGAGTCCACCCAACGTAGGCATACTAGCCAATTACACTAACACTGATCAGTTTGAAAATAAGCTTATTCAATAATAACACCTAGGAAATGGGTATCTGATTATGAAAGAACCCTAAGCAGATAACCATTTGAACCATTTGAATGCTTTCGAACTCATTCAGACGCGCAGCGCGCCACGTGGTGCGAATTCGTTGAACGCGACCCACTCATCCATATGAGCACGTGGCAGACTACGGGTTGGGGGATTTGGTTCATAAAAAAAAAAAAAAGTGGCAATATATATTTCCATGTTCTAGTGGTAGATTCATTCTATTTTGCTCATCAGATCCATGGAAGTACCATGAGGTCGGCCGCGCGGTTGGAGACTTACCTGCTCTTCTCTCTCTCTCTCTCTCTCTCTCTCTCTCTCTCTCTCTCTCTCTCTCTCTCTCTCTCTCTCTCTCTCTCTCTC